TGCAAGCTTGCCATTGTTTTCAGTGAGAAGGTTTGTTTATATTTTAAAATTATCTTTATTAGCCTGAAAGCATGAAAAGAGTGAATTCTGTTTATAGCAATTTAAGCTTGAAGGAACCAATGCCACTGAAAATATTATGCACAAATCACATCTTTAATATCTTTGTTCCCCCAAGTGTTTGTAATGTGAAAACCATTCTGGGAACTGTTTCTCCCCGTTGGCGCACATCATAGCCACATCATTGAATGTCACCTCACCTGTAGTTTCTATGGCTAAAAGAGGACCAAGTGGGGCTTTTGATAAAGTTTGACATGCTTCCTTTTTGCTATGTATGAATTTCCAAGGAATTTTTTGTTAGTACAACAATATTCCTTACACTGTTATTCATTTATGGTCCATTCTATTAACCATATGAATTCATCAAACATTTACTGTTCCTATAAGTAGAATACAGAATTCATTCCTCTAAATCACTTACTCTCAAAATATGGTTACCAAAGCAAAACATAAGCAAGCTTATGTTTTGTTGGGAGCTTGTTAGAAATGCAAACTCTTGGATTTCAAACCAGACCTTCTGAATGAGACATAATTCCCACTGGTGACTCTGATATGCATTCAAGTTTGCATTTCTCCAAAAAATTGTAAGGGCTGACTGTTTAACTCAGTGGTAATGCACTTGTAGCATGCCTGAGGTCGTAGGTTTTGTCACTAGCACTACAAAAGGAAAAAAGACCCATACTGCTTATACAATTGAATGTATAAGAAGTGAACAAAGCACATCTCTAACATTTCCATGTTGATTGGAATCTTAATCAAATGCTTTCAGTATTTTTGTATTTTCCTGAATGCTCTAGGCATTTTACAAAGGAAAATTTAACCATAAACTATCACATTGATTACAAAGTTAATTAATATTTTGATGATAAAACAGGCTATAATATTATTGCCAGTTTCATAGATATTATTTTATTTATTCTTATACATTTTTATTAAATTTATTCATTTTTTAAATCAATTACAGTTTATTCACTTTGTATCCCAGCTGTAGCCCCCTCTCTCATTATACCTCTTTTTAAAAATACTTTCACAGTACTGGAACTTAAACATTATTAGGCTGTACATGTTTTAATATCTTCTCTGGGTTTCAATAATTTGAACAGGATGAAAAGAAAAAACAAATTGCAGGAAGACAGGGATACAATTTAAGTAAATTGTTAAGCACTTGATTCTGATTGGTTAGTGAGAACTGGTTGCTAAGATCAAAGTGAGTTAAACTCCAGATGTTGACTACTGGGCTAGTATCTTATCGTAATAGCTTTCACTTTTGTCATGGAGCTATATTTGTTTCTTGTTGCTTCTTTAACATACTATTTCAAATGCCATGGCTTATGTAGCTAAAAAGCAAACTTCCTGTTTTGGGAATTAGGAGAGGTGCCTTCTTCTGGAGAGTCCAGGAAAGATTTGAATCCTTGATCTTTCCAGTTTCCAGAAGTTTCCCACATCCTTCAGCTCATCCCTGAACCTCTCACTACTGGACATTCTCCCATTTCTTACATCTTTTCTCTCTTTTATAAAGGCATCTGAGATTATAGAGTCCAACCCAGGGAAGTTGTCCTCTCTCCAAATACTTACTTTGATTATATCTTGCAATTCATTTTGTGAAGATTTGGAGGATTCAGACACAAGCATTTTTGTGACCTATTATTCTGTTTACCACAGGATTTTTATTGCTCTATTTCATATCCATTCTAGGATTTTAAGAAACTTTAAAGATGAGGTATTTGGTTCCATTTGTTTGCCTTTAATTTCTGACAGTACATGACCCATTGCCACAGCTTTGTAATATTCAACTCTTGTACTTTCTCAATATGTTAAAGCATACTACACCTTGTTCCTTTGCATTGCATTAGAATTAATTAAGTCATGATAAATTTTCCATTCAGAGAAACAAGAAAGTGAATCTGAAACTTTAGATTGACAGTTAACTAAGTCTTTATTTTGGAATAACAGTTCTATCACAGTGGAAGTCACGTGACAACTGGTGCTACTTAACTGCTGGAGTACCTGCTACTTCTCTTTTGTAGAAGAACACAAATGCTAATGGAGCCTAGTTTTGAAAGAATTTCTATTGATTCTAAGACCAATTAGCTGATAAATTATGTTAATTAATTATAGGTTATGCAGATTAAAAATACTAGGTATATAAAATATCTGTCTGAAAATACGTACATACATACAGATGTATACTGTGTGTACCTGTATATATGTAAGTATGTATGTATATAGGTAGTCTTACTTGTTTAAATACATTTAAAATGAAGGGGTAATGTTTAACATTTCTCTTTTACATTTGTAAATTTCTTTATATTAATTCATTTCTTACAAGTATCATGGCCTTTTATAAATAGAAGTAGTTTCATTCAGAATAATTTTATTGCGATGAAAAATTATAGCTTGAAAATAGAAGCTCCTTTAAGTTGACTTCCTCATTAGCAGTGCCCTTGCCATGTCTTTCTTCCTGGCAACAATGTGATGTTACAGACCCATTCTGATTTTATCCTGCCGAGGATGTTGAATTGAATATTCTTTAACAGTTCTCTTTCCATATATTTTTAATAGAACAGTGTTAAGGATCAAACTCATTGTGCTAAGGATGCTTGCAGGAATCTAGGGGTATAAAAATAACAGCTTCTGTAATTGTCACTCTTGATAATTGACTAAGATCAAATGAATATACTTAATATGTGTATAAAATCTTAATCTTTCCAGTATAACATAGTGTGTTATTAACCCATTCATTCCCTCTCATTTAACACAAGAGGACCTTTATTAGAATACAAGGATTATTTCAGGGATTTGAATAGCTGTAATGGATCAGTGGTGAAAAGAGCATGTTCCTTCAGGATATTGTACCATTTTGTCATCACAATCTTCTATTCTGACTTTAGATTCTGCCTGGCCATGATTATCCCAAGTACTAGTTTTCTTTGTATCCTGCATAAAGAACTAGAATGTGTATTTATTTCTACTTGGTGTGTATATGTGTGGTGCTAGGGTGAGGGGGTGTCTTCCTATGTACCTAAAGCTTACCTTGAACTGGTGGTGATCCTCCTATCTAAACCTTCAGAATACTGTAAGTACAGGTGTGCACCATCATGTCTGAATTTTTGCTCAGTGCTGAGAGTAGAACTACAGCCCCTTGCCTGACAAGTGCTTTATTCACTTACACTCTTGGTTACTTCTGACAGCTTTTTAAAAAATCTTTATATTCCTTTATTGTGCCATCAAACTTGTAGAGCATATGTCAACAGACATTTCATGGGTGCATTCATACCTCTCTAAAATGGCTCAGCTGCTGAACACTGCATACATTAATTTTGCTTTCTAAAGGCTAGTTTGTAGTGTGACTACAAGAATTCACTTCCAGGTTCTTTGTGATTGGACAGTGCATAGAATTTACTAGAGCATAATCCTCCTGAGATAAATTACATAGTACTTGTCTGCTCCAAATCCAGGATCATGTCCAGGACTGTTTTCCTCTCTCACCTTCAACTACATAAGTCTTCCAATCAGAGATGCTTCCTCCATGTTACCTGGGTATTCTTCCACTACAGGGGTTGTTATGGTTTGGATTGGACATAATCCCCCACAGTTCAAGTGCTAAAGGCTTAGTATTGTAGAAATGTTCCGAGGTGAGGCTTTTAGGAAGTGATTGGATCATGTGTGCTCTGGTATCACCAATGGATTAACACATTTGTTGATGAATCATGAGTCGCTAATGTATGGAAAGGTGATGAAAATACAGGAGGTGGGACCTAGGCAAAGCCACTGGGTTTGAAGGCATCTACATACACTTTGAATAGTTCAAAGTATTTCATATAAAGTGAAACATACTTCTGCACCTCTCTTATTAGGTTGGAGGTATCATAAAATTTATTCTCTTTAAACATGCACTTTTACCTGGCTGTGACTTAGATATTACTGAGTTGTCTACTTCCGTTGAGTTACTTTTCTTCAGTAGAGTTAGAAACTTGCATTCTACTGGGAAGAAGACTTCCATTATGATTCTCACAAAAAGCAAGCAGATATAAAATTATTTTAACATAACTATTAGAGCCTTAGAACAGTGATTCTTAAACTTTGGAAGATTATCTGAAACACTAAGAAATTCAGAAGTCATCCTCTATATTTGCCATCCAGGCATCTGCATAGTAACAGAAGAAAGTTCTGTTACTCAGCAAAGTACCTTTATCACAAATCATCGGATATATGGAGCAGCTGGTTGCTCTAATGAGGGAAATTTTACTGGGAAATATTTACTGGTGAATTATTCTATACTCGGAGTATTTGAGATGCTTTTTTTCTTTTAATTGAGCCATTCATTATAGGCTCTTACCTCAGAAGCAGTGTTTATTCTTGCATTTTTCCTTACCTTGTGAAGATTCTAAGCATAGAATTAATGGTATTTTTAAAATATGGTAGCTTTAATTCCCTCTTTAGTAAGAACCTCCTTTAATGTGCAAGTTTGCTTCTGGGAGTCACAATGGAGATGAGGTGTCAGTAAATCTGGGTGGCATTTGACATACTGAGCAGCTGCTAATACTGATATGATGAGCAATGTGGTAGTTTTGGTTTTCAGTCTTAGCTCAAAATTGGCATCTCCTTGAAAATTAAAAACCAACCAAGAAGCAAACACCACTAGTTCCTAATTACCATCCCCTAGAGATTTTGTGTGTGTTTCCATAGCTGCTACATGGATGCTTTATATTTTACAGAAACAGTGAAAACTTCCCCTCTGTGGGTTAATTTGTGTGACTAATTCTCTTTTACATTAAATGACTGTGTATTTAGTGTTAGCTTTCCAGTCTGTCACATTCATAGGTATATTGTACTACTCATTTTAATTTATTAGCACTTATTCATGTCTTTAAGGAGCTTGCATTAAAGAAGGGGTTATTAAGCAAAACCTGCTTAGAATATCTCTTTTTGGTTTGCCACAGTGTATTATCTAGCATGACAGATGTGGTGTTAGCTCGAGTGTATAAACAGTCAGATCTGGACATCCTGGCTAAGGAAGCATCCATCCCAATTGTCAACGGACTATCAGACTTGTATCATCCTATCCAGATCCTGGCTGATTACCTCACACTCCAGGTTGGTGTGTTTCTTTGCTTTACAGGAGAGAAAAAAAATCAACAGATATTCCTAACTTTTTAGTGGAACCATTTACTTAATTGCTATTATGTAAAACGTCTATCTTTAAAAGTATGCATGTGTGAATACTACAGATCTAGAAAACAATACATTGATCTAAAAAAGCTATATGATCCCTTTCTTCTCAAGCCTGTTTCCAACCCCTTCTAGCCCATCACACATCTATTCTTTCAATCAATTTGCTTTCTGTTGCTCATTTTTTTTTCTTTTGTGGTACTGAGGATGGAAACCTGGGCCTCATACATGCTTGAAAAGCTCTTTGCTAGTGAGTCCCATCTTCAGCGCAGTTTTGTTAAATTCTAAGGTCATGAAACAATTTCTTTAGATTTATTTATTGTTTTAGAATGAAACCTACTATGTATATATTCTTTTATATACATATATGCTATGTATATATTCTTTTATATATATACTATGTATATATTCTTTTATGTGGATTGAATATTTATGTGTTAAGAAACTCAAACTTTATACAAAGACTATCCCTTGAGGAGGGGAACTCCCTTCTACTTCTAACCTTGAAGTTTCTAATTTTATGGAGGGATTGACAACTTACAAAAGAGTTGTTACCATGATATGTATATTTATAATTCCCAGGAATGCCTTTATAATTTACACATGACTGTATCCATTAACAAATTATTCTCAGCAATGTTTTTTGACATTTGATGGTGGCAATGTTCTCAGAGTCACTCTACCATGCTGTTTCTTGTGAATTATTCCAGCCACTTCTTTACACCAGGGAATATAATAACATGGAAGTAGTAGCTATCTGTCTCTTTCGTTTCAACTTCAGCATCAAAGGTTGTACCTGGATAAAGATAGTGCTCAATCCTTGAATGATAAAATAGAGTCAAAATTCATGAAAATCTAAGCCTCAGTACTGTCTTGGATTAAGACATTAGAACATTTTAGGTACTGTTTTGTGACTGTGTGTTCATATTATTGAATACAATGCAAAATATAGTCTATTCCAATAAGGCACTTATTTCAAGGCAAAATCTTAACTCTAGTAACTGTTGCTTAAAAGTGGGTTTCAGCCCCCATATTTGATCCCCTTTCCCTCTTGTTTTGTAGGAACACTATGGCTCTCTCAAAGGTCTTACCCTCAGCTGGATAGGGGATGGGAACAACATCCTGCACTCCATAATGATGAGTGCTGCAAAATTCGGGATGCACCTTCAAGCAGCTACTCCAAAGGTAGGTAAACTCTCTGCCCTGAAATAACTTCCCTGTCAATCAGATGTTTATTTCACAGTGGAAACAAAGCTTCTGACCAAGGACAGCATAGCTGAGGCCACACAATTTAGGCTCTATTACCAACTCTTCTATTGAATAAGTATCTGGCTTTCTAAGAGTGCAATTTTTCATTTCTATAGTGGAAACTAGTCTTGGCTGATGCCTTTTATTCTATGTGTCTGTGATAAAAGCACATCTGAATTATGCCTTTGAATGCCCTAATACTGGTCATTATGATGACTGGCATCTTTGTGCATTATCACCACACAGCCTGAAGAAAGCAGTGAAAACCAGACAATGTAAAATCTTCAGTGCATAGAAATGGTGCTGTAATCTCTTCAATACAGCAATTTGATTTAAAAATAATTAAAGAAGCAAAAATGTCAGTTCTCTGTGAAGGACACATTTGCTGGCATCCAGCTTTATATTTCAAACCTCATCTCCAGGGTCTCATTGGATTTTTAAATCTGAGTCTCGTGTGCCTATGAAAACTACCCCTACATCTTTTCTATCCTGATTATTCTCATAAAATGTAAATGGTAACAGTTGTTGCCAATCCCTCCATAAATTTAGAAACTTCCAGGTTAGAAGTAGAAGGGAGTTCCCCTCACCAGGAGAGAGTCTTTGTATAAAGTTTGAATTTCTTAACACATAAATGTTCGATCCACATAATAATATACATGCATAAATAAAAACACTAAAATAAAAAATGTACATCCCCCCAGAAATAGTCCTATGTTAAGATACCCTTGCCCCTTGTAGAACAAACAGAACCTGGAATGGGTAAGAAATAACCCTACGAGGGAATCAAGCACAGACCAACCCTGAAGGATATGCCAAGAATAGTTTAAACACCACAGACCTACCACTCTCTTCTCTCCATTAAGCTTCTTATTTAGCTTCTGATGTCCTTTCAGTAGTCTTTTAATAAGGAACATTTCCCTAAGTAGACATTATTTCAGAAACAAAGTGTTGATTTGTGGTAAGAGAATTGACCATCACATTAGGAGAAAACTGTTTACAGTGATCATGTGCCCTGCCAGTGTGTCTCTCACCAAGCACGTGTTTGTTGTTTTCCAATAGTCACACCTATGGCTCACTCTGAGATGGATATAAGGGAACTTCAAAATTTTTCTCTGTGCTTTTGCTTCATGTATTTGAGATGGTTTTTGTTTGTTTGTTTGTTTGTTTGTTTGTTTGTTTTACCAACTGCCAGGAACGTGATTTATAGCATGGAGATAAATCGCTTTATTTCTCGAATAATAATCATCCAGTCCTTGAGTATCTCATGTACACTTCACCCACCTGACTCTTGAACAGTGTCTTCAGCTGAGTTTCCTACTAACATGTCCACGGTAGAGACTTAAGAGACTCACAGGGAACTAGTAGGAAGAGATAAAGGAAAGAGAAGAATTAAGGAAGGGTACTGTTTACAGGGGTCAAACATCCTAGGGTATTTCTGGAGATGAGAGGCATTCAATGCTAAAATTTTCAGAGCATTTGGAAAACCAGGATAATTTGGTCACCCTAGTGCTATGGCATGCCCAGTAAAGGGAAAGCTTAACTTGCTACAACAAATGAGCACTTGAATGTAAGGTATGCTTCAGAGTTGTCCAGACCTGGAGTCAGGAGAGTGAGTTTTCATCCTTCTGGACCAGTTACTGCTAAGGAACAATGGGCAAAGTGGAGTGGCAAGTTCTCTGACACCTGCAATGAAAAGGACAGCCTGTTAGCCAGAGAGTGGCCTTCTGAAAAAAAAAAAAAAAAGCTGCAAGTTCTGTGTTGGTAAAACATTTGTGTGGCCTGTTGTATCCCAAACAAGTTAATAAAATCATGTTCTCTGGTGTTCTAGCTGAGTCAGTTTGGGTCAATGCATCCTTCTCACTTAGTTTCTTAGGCAAGAACAAATGGGTACAAACCAGGTGTCTCAAAAAGCACAGTAAGGTGTTGTCTGAGATCTAGGTGTTGGCACAGCCATATTCCATTTGTTAATTGACTCCTTCCTGAATTACTCCAAGCGTTCCCTCCATCATCTTTATTCTGTGTCCATATATCTCTATGTGCAAATGTCCCTGTTCTTCAGAATAATGGCTTATTAAATTTAGGCCTACTTCCACTCACTATGACCTCTTCTTAAGTACTTATATATGCAAAGACCTTATTTCCAAATAAAGCTACATTCTGAGGTTCCCATTGGGTAGTCTGAGTGCATGAGTGTGCCTGCCTCTGTGTGTATGTGTGTGTGTGTGTGTGTGTGTGTGTGTGTGTTTGTGTTTTGTGTAATGCAGTGGCATCAAAGCCAGGGCCTCATATAGTCTACCTAAATACTTTGCCACTGAATTATGCCATGACTTTTATTTTTTATTTTTTTATTATTAGTTACATTTTATTAACTCTGTATCCCAACTGTATCCCGCTCCCTCATTCCTTCCCAAACTCTCCCTCCCTCATCTCCTCCCTGCCCCTTTCCAAGTCCACTGATTGGGGAGGACCTCCTTCCCTTTCATCTGACCCTGTTTTATCAGATATCTTGCCCTGACTTTTTAAAGGACATTATTTTCCCAAACACCTCTGCCATGCTATAGAACAAATGGCATGCACATGCAATAATAATAATATGCTCTGGAAGCTCTCCTATTACAGCAAAATTTTAGGGAGTGGAGAGTTGACCCCCAAAACAAATCCTCCTCCTCCTCTCATTTAGCATGCACTGAAACAAAAGCTTAGGTATGACATATTTGAGCACACTCTCACTAGAGTGTGGAACACAAGAGAACATGATTTCAATAACGTGTTTGGGATACAACAGGCCACAGAAATGTCTTACTAATGCAGAACTTGCAGCTCTTTATTGTTTTTTGTTTTCTGTTTTTTCTTTTTTTTTTTTAAGAAAGCCACTAGCAGGGTAGCAAGCTGCTCTTCTCCTTGTAGGCGCCAGAGAACTTACCACTCCACTTTGCCCATTGTCCTTCAGGCATATTACGGCAAAATATGACTGCATTTGCTTTCACAGATAAAATGTGCATGGACAATAATTGTTCTCTGCTATAAGCTGACTTTGAAATGGCTCCATTCTGTTGAAGAAATACACAGTTTAAACATTTTACTGCATGTCAAAAATGTCTTATTAACATTGAAAGAAAATTTCCAACACAATAGAGTGATTTCAGTATTATTCTTCTATGGGCACTCATTTAAATGAGAAAGTACACCAAAATCCACTTAAATCCTGGTGAGAGCAAGGTTTTTGTTTTTGTTTTTGCATTGAAAAACAAACAAACAAACAAACCTGCTGCAAAGTCTGATAGTGCAGAAGTTGCGGTTGGTCATTAATTTGTAAGTCTTCACTTCTTAATAGAACTATTTCCCTTAAAGATAAAGCTAGATTTATTGAAAATTTAAGAAACATTGGCCAACTCCCAAAGTCATAAGGAATCCATTTTCTCATGCCTGAACCAAGAATAACTTACATGTTCAAAAGAAATTATTATTCTGTCCATTATTTTGCAACAGTGTTCCATAAGCCATGGATGGTGATGATTTTAACAGTGTTCTAAGTAAATATTTAAACTGTTTTGTTAATCACCTTCCTCATATGGTTTTAAGATGTACGTAAAAGCCAACGAGTGATTTAGCATTGAAAACTGAGATCTGAGTGAAGAATCCCTCTCTGCACTCTAAGTCGTGGTTCAGAGAGTGCAAGGTTGGGTGATTTTCTAATTTCCAAGTTCTAGTTCTCTAAGGACTTATTGATTCCTTCTCTAAGAATAATTATTGGTAGAGAGTTCAAATGCTCTTTTCTGAAGGGAGGAGTACAATTTCAGGGCAGTAGGCACCTAGTGTAATATCCAAGTCTCTTTATTTATATTCACCTGTACGGATGTTCACAACATTAGTTACCAAATTCACAAACCTGTATTAATTACTTTCCCCAACCCCCAACCCCATAAACCAGGCTCCAAGATCTTTTGGCAGTTTGAGCATAGCAACACTTGCTTTAAAAATCTGCAGCTGTCATAATCAATATCTCGGCAGTTTCTTTTCTCCAGAATTTGGTGAGGGGAGAAGAACTATGGTAGACAAGTATGTTTAAAAAAGCCAGATTTCAGATGAATGTACATGGGCTTGCCTGTTACCAACTGAGCTTCTTGGAAAGCAGATTTTAGTGTGTGGGATATATAAGATGCCCATGGCAGTGCGCGCTTGAAGTCAATGGCAGTGAGAAAGAGCAGGGTAAGGAAGCAGGAGTATGGGGATGGAGAATTGAGCTATGACTTGGACCCAACCCACATTCTCAGTTGACCTACAGAACATTTTTTAAAAAATTTGGATCTGTGTGGGCTTGGGAAGAGAGGGTATGGTTTTCCTATCTTCCTATCAATCACTCCTTGAATATATGGAGACCTGGAAGGGTATGCTTGTGTGAGTGAGTGAGGTGACCTTTTATAGCTGAGGCAGTGTCCAAAGGTAGCAGACAGATAAAGACCACCTTCTTTCTGGTACCACCATAGCAACATAGAGGAGTAAGTCCTTTTTTTTTAATCTTTTATTTTTTTTATTAATTACACTTTATTCATTTTGTATCCCCCCATAAGCCCCTCCCTCCTCCCCTGCCGATCCCACCCTCCCTCCCCTTTCTGCATGCATGCCACTCCCCAAGTCCACTGATAGGGGAGGTCCTCCTCTCCTTCTTTCTGATCTTAGTCTATCAGTTCTCATCAAAAGTGGCTGCATTGTCCTCTACTGTGGCCTGGTAAGGCTGCTCCCCCCTCAGGGGGAAGTGATCAACGAGCAGGCCAATCAGATTATGTCAGAGGCAGTCCCTCTTCTCATTACTATGGAACCCACTTGGACACTGAACTGCCATGGGCTACACCTGTGCAGGGGTTCCAGGTCATCTCCACAAATAGTCCTTGGTTGGAGTATGAGTCTCTGGGAAGTTCCCTGTGTTCAAATTATCTTGTTCTGTTGCTCTGCTTGTGGAGTTCCCGTTCCCTCCAGCTCGAGTAAGTCCTTTTAATCATGATTATTCATGACAATGAAGGTGTGAAGAAAATATCACAACATTCAGAAGAAATCCATACAAAATGGAGGGGCTGTGCATAATCATGGGGGTTTTTTTGTATTTTATTTTTTTCTTATCAGTTACATTTTATTAACTCTGTACCCCAGCCGTGTCCCGATCCCTCATTCCCTCCCAGTCCCTCCTTCTCTCCCTCCCTCTCTCCTCTCCACCGTGCCCCTTGCCAAGTCCACTGATAGGGGGGACCTCCTCCCCACTCATCTGATCCTGTTTTATCAGGTATCTTCAGGACTGGCTGCAAAGCTCTCCTCTGTGGCCTAACAGGACTGCTCCTCCCTTGGGGGGTGGGGAGGCCAAAGAGCCAGTCATTGAGTTCCTGTTAGAAATAGTCCTTGTTCCCCTTACTATGGGAAACCAATTGGTTACTGAGCTACCACAGGCTACATCTGAGCAGAGGTTCTAGGTTACATTCATACATGGTCCTTGGTTGCATATCAGTCTCAGAAAAGACCCTGTGCCCAGATATCTTTGGTCCTTGTGGAGCTCCTATCCTTTCCTCATCAGACTAACTCCCCTTCTTTCTTATGATTCCCTGTACTCTGCCAAAGGTTTGGTCATGAGTCTTTGCTTTGAAAACACTGCTAGTTAGAGTCTTTCCAATGCGCTCAGTAGACTCCTGTCATACGTTCAATGCACATCCCATCTGTCATTCTAAACGAGGATTGATCATCTTACCCCATGTCTACTCTCTTGATTATCTTTTTTAGGTGTACAGATTTCATTATGTTTATTATATCTTATAGGTCTATATAAGTGAGTATATACTGTGTTTGTCTTTCTCCTTCTGGGATATTTCACTCAGGATGATCTTTTCTAGGTCCCACCATTTGCCTGCAAATTTCATGATTTCCTCCTTTTTGATTGCTGAGTAGTATTCCATTGTGTAAAAATACCACAATTTCTGTATCCATTCCTCCGTTGACAGACATCTGGGTTGTTTCCAGGTTCTGGCTATTACAAATAAAGCTGCTATAAACATGGTTGAGCAAATATCCCTTTTGTGTACTTGAGCAAACTTTGGGTATATACCTAACAGTGGTATAGCTGGATCTTGAGGAAGCACTATTCCTAATTGTCTTAGAAAGCGCCAGATAGATTTCCAGAGTGGTTGTACCAGTTTACATTCCCACCAGCAGTGGAGGAGGGTTCCCCTTTCTCCACAACCTCTCCAGCAAATCATGGGGTTTGAACTGACATGGAGGTGAGGCTAGAGTTCATGTTCAGATAAAGGCACTCAAGAGGAGATATTCAAGGGTGAAAGGCTGGGATGGTAGAAAATGGCAAAATATGTACAGGGACAAGAAGATTGACTTTGTTGTGGCAGTATATTGAGAAGAATTAAAGGAGACAAAAGCAGGAGAGATGTATTTTAGGAAGAAAGGCTTGAGGCACTTAATTAGCTTTGATATAAGAAGCAAGTACTAAACAAGTCACACTGTTGTCTACAAATAGAATAGTGAGTGGAGAAGACTCATGATGGCATTATGACTTGGCAATAGTTTTAGCTAATTTAGCTACCTGCAGAATATCCACTAGAGCTGGGACTAGGGTGAGTAAACAAGACTCCCAGGATGCAAAATCATTTAATCCTAAGAATTGCGCATCTCTTTATAGGTACCTTACTTACTTTTCCAAACCATTCTAAAAACAATAATAAATGACATTTCACAGCAAGTCCTCCTCTCTTGGAAAAGAATAAGACAGAAGCCCATTGGTATTTAGCTGGAGAGGTCCCAGAGTGCTTTTCTGTGGAGTGGTCATTCAAACAAGGACGTCAAAAACTTGTCCATGGAAAGAGCGAGGTGGGGAAGCATGTTACACAAAAATGAAGCTGTGTGTGCAAAGCAGAGATAAAAATACATTAGGCTCTACAGTTATGTGTATAGCCCTCTTATACTATTAAAACGTCAAGGAGAGGTCTATCAAAGAGAGGTAGAAAGTACCATGCTCTGTATTTGCCTTTATGACTGAGGAAAACAGAGATAGTTAGTTCAAAGGACACCATGACAGCTTCAATATGCTCTACTGACCATGGATAAGCTATATCTTTTAAAAGAAAAGAGAAAGACTATTTTAGGCTTTCTTTTGTTTTGTTTTAAGACACATTAGATATGTGTTAGATATAAGAGCTATTAAATAGTACCATTTATAATTAAATTCTCTAATTACCTAAATAACAGCTCAATTTTCTTCTTGCAGGGTTATGAGCCAGATCCTAATATAATCAAGCAGGCAGAGCAGTATGCCAAGGAGGTATGCTCTTTATTTGTAATGTTCAAATTGCCTTTGTCTGTCCTTTGAAGTTTTTATTTTTATTTTTTCTAATCAGCAAACTTCTCTGTGCTAGAATGGTACCAAGTTCTCAATGACAAATGATCCATTGGAAGCAGCCCGTGGAAGCAATGTATTAATTACAGACACTTGGATAAGCATGGGACAAGAGGAGGAGAAGCAAAAGCGTCTTCAGGCTTTCCAAGGTTACCAGGTTACAATGAAGGTACAAATTGATGCTTCTCTGAGTTCACTAATTGAACTCATAAAGACTAGAACTACCTCATCACCCACTCACTTTAGGGACAGTTGACTGACCTTTTATACTCTATTAAAGATACACTGCAACCCAACAAGATCTCTCACCTCCTAAAGATTACCAATATTCTTGGGGAAAAAAACACTTATGACAAAGAAATCTAAAGCTTGTGCTGTGGAGTAAGCTTCCCCCCTCTAACAACAACAGAAGTCCCCAAATGCTTTACTTTGTGTAAATGCAGAGAAATCAGGTTACTTCTGATGCTTGCAATTCCTTAAGATTTCTCCCATAAGAAAAGCTTGCCATGTTCTTGCATGCCTTGCTTTTATTTTCTAATCTCTCTTAAACCAATGATAGCTTTACAAACTGTCCTAGGAGAATTCCGTTTAATCTAATGCCTTCCAGGAATATCAGAAAAGCTGCATATCAATTTTTTCTTCCTGCTTGCCTCCTTTCCTTCCCTTGCCTTTTTGTTGTTGTTGTCTGCAATGTTAAACACTGGCATGGAGCCCAGGGCCTAGAGAAAGTTAGGTAAAGAACTCTACCACACCCACTCTATGTTTCAATCTTAAACAATCATCAGAATGGCCTGTGTGTATTCTTATCCTCGGCTGGAAGGCCCCAACTCCAGGTCTTCTGATTCAGTGGGTCTTGCATGTAAAAATTTGCATTCTATCTGATTCCCGCATAATGAAATTCTGCTACTTGAGGGCCACACTTTGAGAACCTCTGTTGAAAGCATATTCCAAACAACAGGAGTACATTGAAGTGGAGACAGTGATTACACAAAAGCATAAAAAATATGAATAAAGTAACAAATAATTTTTTATTACATACCAAAGTTTGAAAAACAAAGCAAAAAAGTTTCCCCCTTTTATCAATATATAAAAATAACATGGTTATTTATTTTCTTTCTCCCTTTCTCTCAACAGTGACTGTTTCCATAGCTAACTACCATTTAACAATATAATGTGGTTCCTTTTATATTTTTGCACATTTACATATATATGCCCATTCACCTACAAATGTTTGTTTGATTTTTGATACAGGGTAGTTTAGATATATTCTCACTTGTTTTTTTTTTCCCCCTTCTTGACAAAACTTAGATTTTTTAAAAATCAATTCATTTAGATATTTTCAGTTTTTAAAAGTGTTTTATTTTACTTTTTATTTTATGTGTATGGGTGTTTTGCCTCCATGTATACCTGTGCATTGCTTACATGCAGTTCCCATGGAAGCCACAAAGAGCATTGGATCTCCTTGAGCTGGAGTTACAGATAGTTGTGCACCACCGTGTGGGTGCTAAAAATCAAACCCAGGTCCTCTGGCAGAGCAGCAGTGCTCTTAACTGCTGACCCTGCACTTTTTTACTTTATTATTATTATTATCATTATCATTATTATTATTATTATTATTATTATTATTATTAATTACACTTTATTCATTTTTTATCCCTCCAGAAGCCCCTCCCTCCTCCCCTCCTGACCCCACCCTACCTCCCCTTTCTGCATGCATGCTCCTCCCCACGTCCACTGATAGGGGAGGTCCTCCTCTCCTTCCTTCTGATCTTAATCTGTCAGATCACATCAGGAATGGCTGCATTGTCTTCTTCTGTGGCCTGGTAAGGTTGCTCCCCCCTCAGGGGGAGGTGATCAAAGAGCAGGCCAATCAGTTTATGTCAGAGGCAGTCCCTCTTCCCATCACTATGTAAGCCACCCTGCACTTTTTTTTAAGATTTATTTCTTGATATGTATACAGTGTTCTGCCTGCATGTAGGCCTGCATTCCAGAAGAGGGCATCAAATCTCATTACAGGTGGTTGGGAGCCACCATGTGGTTACTGGGAATTGCACTCAGGACCTCTGGAAGAGCAACCAGTGCTCTTAACCTCTGAGCCATCTCTCCAGCCCAACCCTGCATATTTTTAAATGAAATTGTTATTATTGTTGTTGTTGTTAATGTTATTATTGAATGACATGCATGTAAACAAAAATTCACAAAAGGTAAATATAAAGATGATTCCATTTCCACAAAGTGAACTTATTCCCAACATCTATATGTAGAAAAGTACCACAGACACTTGTTACTAGCCACAACTCATTGTCACAGGTTTTTTATTCATTGCAGTATTGCATATAAAATTCCAAAGTACAAGTGAATTGTAATTTCCCCACAATAATTGTTATTGATATATTCATTTATGTATTTAAAATATTCAAACAATTCTACAATGAACACCTTATCCATATTTCTTTGTCAAGTGTTACTAGAAAGTAAGTTTCTAAAGGAAGAAATTTTCTGTGATGTGTTATATGCTTTTAAAAATACAGTGATGGTTCATCTAAACAGGATGAATAGTTTAAACCCTTGCAGAAGTAAATTATTGTTCTTTCTCCACATATACTCTGTTCTTTGTTATTTACATTTACATCTTGCAAATTGTAGAGAAAATAATATCCTGTGATTTCTAAAATTTGCCTTATTTCTTATTATGTTAAGCATTTTTCATATTTATTGGTCATTCCATGTCTATGTCCTTAATTTGCTATCATATCTTTACTTTCTTTTTTTATTCTTTATTAATTACACTGTATTCACTTTGTATCCCCCTGTGGTTCCCTCCCTCCTCCCATCCCAATCCCTCCCTTCCTCCACCCTCTGCATGCATGCCCCTCCCCAAGTCCACTGATTGGGGGGGGGGTCTTCTTTTCCTTCCTTCTGATCCTAGTCTATTAGGTCTCATCAGGAGTGGCTGCACTGTCTTCTTCTGTGGCCTGGTAACACTGCTTCCCCCTCAGGGGGAGGTAATTAAAGATCAGGCCAATCAGTTCATGTCAGAGATAGTCCTATCCCCAGTCCATCACTGGTTGTGGAGCTTTGTATACAACATGGCTAATCTTTTTGTCATATATGTTTCAAATATTTGGTGAGGCTGTTTTAACTTATCTATGGGTTGCCTCATGCGTGCCTTGGGTGATTTTCTGGTTCTGGTACTGCAGGCTTGAAGAATAATAATTTTACTGACATTTGACAGGTATAAATGCTACCTCCTTTCCATCTCATTTGCCAGTACTTTAGGAGCTCAATTATTCTCAACTTAGATGTGAAATAAAATTTCAGTACAAAGGCAGTAATTTTGAGGTTAAAAAGTATGAGGCAATGTAGTTTTAAATCTGAATGTGAAAAATGGAAATGGATGGGGAATGTTACTTTTGGGATTTAACTGCGGGTGAAAATTGAGAGAGCTGGCACATTTGCATTTGGAAGAAAATAACTAGTGCTGAGTGCTCTGAATCCTTTTTAATGTACTCCTACCTCACTGCTTTCTTCAAAATTATTTTAATTTGTGACAAGGTATGCTTCAAATGCTAAAACTCATAATTTGAAAAAAAGCTCAAAATAGAATACCATTGTATCAAAGTAACTTCTTTGTATATTGGCAACTTTTGCTATCAACTACATGTCAGGAGAGTTCTTTACTAAAACTTCCATTGCCCCACTAGACAGAATACTAGAAAAGTGAATAACTGGTTTAATTTGTAGTGATGCTTTCCCAAATTTAAATGAGTGACTATAAAATATTATAGTTTGAAGGAACTAATGCATTATCCTTGGTATCTTCAACTAAAAACTTCCCTCTACCCCTTTACCTTGTAGTGATACATTATGCCAGGACAAATGTGTTATTAATTACTGAAGAAGATATACATGACTACCACATACAAGAGTTAATACTCAAAATGTGATCTTATCCCCATCTCTTTAGACAGCTAAAGTTGCTGCATCTGACTGGACATTTTTACACTGCTTGCCTAGAAAGCCAGAAGAAGTGGATGATGAGGTGTTTTATTCTCCACGGTCCTTAGTGTTCCCAGAGGCAGAAAATAGAAAGTGGACAATCATGGTAAAGAAGAAGGATGGGGGGTGGGGGTAGAATGGTGAAACATCTATAATTGTGCTTACAACTTGACAATTCATACTTTGGGGTAAGGAATAAGTATCCAAGTTTATCCAACTATACTGATTGCTCTTATGACATCTATTTTTAATTTTAAATTCTATTTTACTTAATTATTTTTGAGTGTTCAGGGAGGGGTGGCATGCACTTAATAAGGTGTGTAACTGGAGGTAGGACGAGGTTTTTGCAGGAGTCAGTTCTTGGCTTTCACCATGTGCGTCCTGGAGGTCAATCTCAGGTCCTCAAATTTTGGGGAAAGTTGTGTGTACCTGCTGAGCCATTTTGTCAGTTTGATGTTTATTTTTGTTCAGAAAGTTCACAAACCAGTGTTTCTTATTAGCATGCATGCATGGTATACTTTAATGAAGTAAAATTGATCCTCTTCCAAATTTATCTACTTTTAATCAAAATTTGTACTGCGATAAGAAGTAGTTACTATTATCTGCCAACTATTATGTGTATAGAGCTCTCAGTGTTTAATCTCTCTGTGTTCACTGAAGCTCCTAATTCAGTGCCTGGTGTAAAATGGTCGTTCAAAAAGATATCACTTCCTTCTTCTCCTCTTTTCCTTTTTTATTCTTTTATTGATGCCTTAACCAAATAAGTTTAGTTCTCTGAGTTTGGCCATTTGGATACATTTGTTTATAATTATAGAGCATTTATAAAATTCATGGCAAACCTATTTCACACATTATTAGCTCCTTTCAGCTGAAGCCATTGGTCATCATCTGATATGCTAAGAATTTTTAACCTTAAGACTGCTTTGCAATATTCACTGGGAAATGTCTATGGAAAACTGAATATACACATGCTATAAGTTAGCCTTTCCATTTTTTAAAGGAATTTAGCCGATCTCAATTATTGCACTAGCAGAGTCTCAATGGCAACAACAGACTCCGTCCTAGGTGACTATATGGAAAGAGGTTCATTAACAGACATTAAAAATATCTTGGAAGGGGGGATATTGGGAATAATTATGTAACATCACATAGCAAGGACATCACAGGCAGGAAAATTACAGCATCCCACTGTGGATGTTTTATAGCCAGTAAAATTACAACTACAACCACCCACAGTCTGGTATCTAGAGCCACTGCAATCAGATGTACTAGCTGAAACAGACACTTCAACCTCATAATGGAACACAAGATTCAATCTTTAAGAGAATGGTTTCCATTGCATGTTGTATATCAAAGACTTGTATATCCAAGTCTTCAGTAGATGTAACTTATGACCATTCCTGTACTTCACAGAAGTCTGGGAAATGTAGTATTAGCTTCTAATCAACATAGTAACGTAGGTTGGGAAGGACTATGTAATAATTATTTATTCATCCATCAGTGAGAATAGGATCATTGTAAACATTAAATAATACATGAAAATTTTGGTATAGTGCCTAATGCATTATCAATATTATCATAGCATCATAATTATTTTCTTCGGGGTTTGATCGGATATAGTAAGCAGAAGGACACTAATTTTGGCTAAAACTGGAATTGCTTTGTTATCTAGGCTAGTCTCTGAGGATTTAGTGTTTATTTCTTTTCTTTCTTTTTTTTTTTTTTTGTTAAGTGAGAGCATAGATTTACTAGCTCTGTGATGGGGCTTGAGAGTTAGCATTTCTAATGAGAACCTAGATAATTCAAGTGCTATTGTCTTTTTGACCATATTTTTGAGTATTAAAGATCTAGATGAAGAAATTAGAAAATGAAAAGTCTCCAACATTCACCTTAGGAAAAGACATAGTAAAATTTCCCCTCACACTCTATTTTTTTTTCCTAGCGTGTAACTGGAGTTCTGAAAATGATCCAAGTAAATCTTTTCAGAAGGTTGTAGAAATACTAGGGGAAAAGCTTTAAAAAATCTGAAATCTCCTGTGTCAGTGAGTTCTAGGCTCTTCTCCACTTTTTCCTCTAACTGATTTAGTGTGTCTGGTTTTATGTTGATATCTTTGAACCACTTGGACTTGTGCAGGGTGATAAATATGGATCTATTTAAATTTTTCTACATGTGGACATCCAGTTGTATCAGCACCATTTGTTAAAGACGGTGTCTTTTTTCCATTGAATGGTTTGGGCTTCTTTGTCAAAAATCAAGTATGTATAGATACTACTTGATTTTTGTGTTAGTTTATTTCTGGATGTTCTATTCAGTTCCTTTGATCCACCATTCTGTTTCTCTGCCAATATCATGCAGTTTTTATTACTATTGCTCTGTAGTACAGCTTGAGATCAGGGATGGAGATACCTCCAGATGATCTGTTGTTGTACAGGATCGTTTTGGAAATTCTGAGGTTTTTTGTTTGTCCATATGAAGTTGAGAATTTTTCTTTCAAGGTGTGTAAAGAATTGTATTGGTATTTTGCTGAGAATTGCATTGAATCTGTAGATTGCTTTTGAGGAGACTGCCATTTTCACTATGTTAATCCTACCGATCAATGAGCACAGGAGATCTTTCCATCTTCTGATCAATTTCTTTCTTCAGAGAAATGAAGTTTTTTTCAAACAGGTCTTCACTTGCTTGATTAGAGTCACACCAAGGAACTTTATGTTATTAGTGGCTATTGTGAAGGGTGTTGTTTCCCTAATTTCTTTCTCAGCCCTTTTGTCTTTGATATACATGAGGGCTTCTGATTTTTTTTTTTTTTAGTTAATTTTGTAGCCAGCCACTTTGCTGAAGGTATTTATCAGCTGGAGGAGTTCTCTGGTTGAATTTTTGGGGTTGCTCAAGTATTCTATCATATCATCTGCAAATAGTGATACTTTTACTTCTTCTTTTCCAAATTGTATCCCCTTGATCTCCTTTAGTTGTCTTACTGCTCTAGGTAGGACTTCAAGCACTGTGTTGAAGAGATACGGAGGGCTAATATCTAGAATATATAAAGAACTAAAGAAGTTAAAAAGCAACAAATCAAGTAATCCAATTAAAAATGGGGTATGGAGCTAAACAGAGAATTCTCTGTACAAGAATATTGAATGGCCGAGAAACACTTAAAGAAATGCTCAATATCCTTATTCATCAGGGAGCTACAAATCAAAACGACCCTGAGATGTCATCTTACACCCATCAGAATGGTTAAGATCAAAAACTCAAGTGACAATACATGCTGGAGAGGATATGGAGAAAGGGGAACCCCCCTCCATTTCTGATGGGAATGTAAACTTGTACAATCACTTTGGAAATCAATCTGGTGCTTTCTCAGAAAATTAGGAATAGTACTTCCTCAAGATACAGCTATACCAACTCTAGACATACATCCAAAATATGCTCAAGTGCACAAGGACATTTGCTCAACCATGTTTGTAACAGCTTTATTCATGATAGCCAGAACTTGAAAACAACCCAGATGTCCCTCAGCGGAGGAATGGATACAGAAGTAGTGGTACATTTATACAATGTAATACTACTCAGCAATTAAAAACAAAGAAATCATGAAATTTGCACGCAAATGGTAGGATCTAGAAAAGATCATTGTGAGTGAGGTATCCCAGAAGCAGAAATACACACATGGTATATACTCACATATGAGTGGATATTAGACATATAATATAGGATTAACATACTAAAATCTATACACCTAAAGAAGCTAATTATGAAGGAAGACCCTGGGTAAGATTATCAGTCTTCACTTAGAAAGGCAAAAGGGATGGACATCAGAATATGGAGAAAACAGGAAACAGGAAAGGAGCCTACCACAGAGGGCCTCTGAAAGACTCTACCTAGCAGTAAATCAAAGCAGATGTTGAGACACATAACCAAACTTTAGGCAGTGTGTAGGGAATCATATGAAAGAAGGAGGAATTAGTAAGACCTAGAGAGGACAGGAGCTTCACAAGGAGAGCAAGAGAACCAAAAAATCTGAGCCCAGGGGTCTTTTCTGAGACTGATACTCCAACCAAGGTCCATTCATGGACATAAAATAGAACACTTGCTCAGATGTAGCCCATGGCAGCTCATTCTCAAAATGGGTACCATAGTAAGGGGAACAGGGCCTGTCTATGATATGAACTCAGTGGCTGGCTTTTTGACCTACCCACCCCCGAGGGAGGAGTAGCTTTGCAAGGCCCCAGAGGAGGATATTGCAGCCAGTCTTGATGAGACCTGATAAACCAGGATCAAATGAAGGGGGAGGAGGACCTCCCCTATCAGTGGACTTGGAGAGGGGCATGGGAGCAGATGAGGAAGTGAGAGTGGGATTGGGAGGGAATGAGGGAGGGTGCTACAGCTGGGATACAAAACGAATAAAATGTAATTAATGTAAAAGCTTAAAATTAAAAACTAAATAAGCTAGAGAAAAACAAAACAAAATCTAAAATCTCAAACATGGAGATGGTCTATTTCTGAAATTTTTAAGCATATTATACAAACATGTTTAAGTTCTTTTTATTTTCAAACTTAACTGTATAATGTATTGTTGTGGTTAAAATGTTTACAGAAACATACTTTCACACAGTGAACTTTTCTAGCCCATGATATCCATCTAGATCTTATGTTTTCTCACCATCACCATTGCTAGAGAATACTCTTATTAGAAAAAGATTTATCTTAATAAAATCTAGAAGGTAGGGCCATGTTAAAATGAATGTAGAGAGTCTAAGAATGCTGAACTGGCTGTGAAGAAACACCTTCTACCAAACTGCTTCAATACCAACCATCTGTGTCATCTTGGATAAATTGTCCCAATCTTCTCACCCGTAAAATTAGCACAATGAGTCAGAGATTACAAATGAGGGTTGATTTTAATTGGGTCACGAGTGTCATCAATAGGCTACTTTGTGAGTCTCTCTTTGGTGTAGAACAGAAAGAGGGGCAAAACAGATTAATATTCTTGACATGAACACTGAAAAAGTGGCAGTAGATGGCTGGACTCATTGTCCCTGTGCTGGATAATTTGGAGGTCCCTTAAAGTTCAGTTCACTTTAGCCACATGATTTGTGCTTCTAAAT